CACTATTCAATCAGATTTTTTTGGTATTAAAAAAAAAAACGATTTTTAACCCCACGTATTATACGACTTGCGCCAGGGGTGTGTATCGTCTATTCACGCCGGCGTTGAGAAGTCGGTCTGCGGAGCTATAATAAAGGGAATCGAAGGCGTCTTTGCCCATTTCACAAGTCAGGCAAGCTCTTAAAAATCCTTTCTCTAAAACGAGCTACTGCTCTCATCAGCTCTTGCTCAGTCATGGCGGACATGGAAGTCGATTTCAGGCAGTACGAACTGAGGTGTGAACTTCGCGGCCACGACGACGATGTAAGCGAGCGATTCTCCCTTTTCCCGTCCATTTCCATTCGTCTTTTAGCCTTCGCAATTGATCTGGCAGTAGACGATTCGTCTTTCCATCTCGCAATTTCGATTCTACTTCCGAGGCCTTCCGATCCTGTCTGTGTTGGTAGTTGATTGAATTTCTTCCGAATTCGAAATTCTGAAGCAATGTAGGTCGTAGGAAGTGTGATTGCTTGAAGACTGATGTCTCTTCATGTTCATCTAGTAGTAGCCGAATATTTCAGCTTGCTTTGGTTAGTTTAAGTCTCCAATATTATATGAGGGCAATTGCAGCACGGGGAGTTTCAACTATTGCTGGTAGATGATCCTATGTCTAACCAGTCCTCCATGGCTGTTTATGGAGGAAAACTCAAAACTAGCCTTCCATGACTACTCTAGCTTCTGACGGCCTCGCAGCAGATTGCTGATTTCTGTGTTGATCATGTCAGTAACATTTATAACACAGCAGGGACTGTCAACTGCTGGCCGTTGCCTGTGGACTATGATCCTGGTCAACATTTCTTGAACTAGCAGCTTCAAGTTGATGTTTACCAGTAGTTGCTGAGAAATTGTGCAACGAAATTAAGCATCTGCCGGAGTTTGGAGGACAGTGAGAAACAAGGGTATTTGATTTAGCTAGGGTAATGGACGTATATCCTGTTATCTTGGCAGTGAAAATGGAGATTCGGTGGTGTTTCTGTTCTTTCCGCTTTTTATATTGGCAAAACTTGTAGGGAATAATGCTTCATCCAGTTTCTTCTCCCCCCTCTTCGTACAGATCTCCATTTTTGACTCCCTTGTGGAAAGCTTTTATGGTATTTCAATTAGGCTATCCGTATGCAACCAACTCTAAAGAAAGGTCAGTGTAACTCAAAGCTAGTTATAGCCTCAAGTGGAAGTAGAAGGGATGAGTTGGTTGATCTGGGTGACTTCTTAGTGTCATCCATGGAAACTGTTTTAAAAAAAAAAATCCTATCTAATGACATCCATTCAAGTGGATGGCAATGATGGTTGACACTCTCTCTCGTTGCCAATGTTTTCAAATCTCGCTTTCTCACCATTTTTTACTCTCTGATGGTACTACCCTGATATAAGTCTAGTAGCGGGATGATACAATGTTGTGTCACCATGGACAACTTTGTACCATGATGGTATATGTAAGAGAACAGTAGAGTTATTTTATATTTTAGAGTTCCTTGATATGTAAATTGAGACAGTTTGATTTCCTTGATTTCAGGTTCGGGGCATATGTGTATGCGATAGTGCCGGGATAACAACTTCTTCACGAGACAGGACTGTGAGGTTCTGGACTCCAGATCCATCGGCCAAGCACAACTATACCTCGTCAAAAATCTTGCTGGGACATACAAGTTTTGTGGGTCCATTGACTTGGATTTCACCGAATGACGAGTTCCCAGAAGGAGGGATTGTCTCGGGAGGAATGGATACTCTGGTTTTAGTTTGGAACTTAAGTACTGGAGAGGTGGTGCAGACTCTGAGGGGGCATCAGTTGCAAGTTACTGGAGTTGTGTTGGATAATGAGGATATAATCTCATCTTCAGTTGATTGGTAAGCTCATTCAATTCAAGGTTTATCTCTTTCCTTATTATTCTGTGTGCTGAAGCATCCAGGTCTTGAGGTTTTCAGTTTGTAGCAAACTCATCTTCATGTTAAGCTTGTACTGTAGCGGACATAGTGCCTACCGTAGTGTCTATAAATATTCATCCAGAGGAAAAAGGAAGAATAGAAAGAGAAAACTAAGCATACAATCAATCTGCATAAGCTGACATCATGAACATGAGCCAGTTCCTACTCTGTTGAAAGTTGTTGTCTGCTTGCATTTAAGTTAATCTTTAATTCAATTAATGCACATGAGCTCACTCATGGTCTGGATGGATATGCGCCAGCACTCTGAAACGGTGGAGGAAGGGCCAAGCTGTTGAGTCCTGGGAAGCTCACAAGTCACCTGTGCAAGCTGTTATAAAACTTCCATCCGGCGAGCTTGTTTCAGGTATGAGTTTTGGCTGGTTTGTAAAATACAGATAGTTCGCTCAGCAGTGTATACATGCTATCATTGAGCTAGATTTCCCTTTTAACATTGAAGTAAGAAATATATATTGCCCAGATTTGCTTTGAAATGCCAATTGATAAAGATATGGTGAAACTCCCATTCTCTTTCTTTCCTTATGCCAGTCTTAAATAAAAGATCCCCATCCATCAAATATAGCTATTCCTCTACTCTAGACTTTCAAGTGATTGAATGAGAAGATCATATAATATGTAGCTGTCATGCTTTGTACATGGTGTGCTCTTAATTAAATGAATGACACTATTGTTCAGAGTCTCTTCGGAATAGATTCATCTATGTAGTGTGATGGTGTAAAGGGTTGACTTGTCTACCGACATATTCATATATTTCTGTGCTTTAGTTTAGGATCAATGAATGCGTTATGCATCACTGCCTATTGAATTGGTTGTTTGAGTACCACTGCACGTCGTACACTGTTGCTAACCAATGAATACTAGTGTCTTGATACTCTTAGTTCCATACCCTGTTTACACTCTAGTACAATAGGTATACTATTTGCTTCAAGTTGACATTGCAGTTATTTGTTTATGTTATTGCTCCAGACCTCCACTGGCCTATAATTTTGGAATAGGAACCTTGTAAGTGTTGTGTTTCTAGTTTTTGCTTGTAAACCGCAGCTATGAAGTCTTCACTCTATCATACAGGTTCTAGTGACACAACTATTAAGCTCTGGAGAGGAAAGACTTGTTCGCACACCTTTGTGGGGCATACAGGTTCACTCTGCACCTATTTTCTTTTTTCTCCAGATAACTATCTCTGGATTTATCTTTTCATTCATCATAAAAGGTGGTTCCCTTTGTATTCTATACTTCCTATGGGTATTGGCGACCTTGTTGTTGTTGTTGTTGTATTTCTTTGAGCTAAAATTTTGTTCCCAAAACTTAAGGAGCAAATAGGTTGAAACGAAAATTAGTCTAATGCTAAAGCTTAAGAAGGGTGACTAAAATTTAGGCCGGAGGACCCATGAAATAATGACTTAAAAAACGAACAGAATGTCCCTTTTTGTGTGAAAATAATCTCCCATACATGAATTAAAAAACTAAGAGCATAGAAAAAAGTTGTACCTTCTCATGTCTTGTGACCCTTTTCACTGTATTATTTTAATTACAAAAATTTCAGCCCCACGAATTTACTCCTTGTACAATTTTACAAAGACCTTAGTCCTACTGGACTGAATTCCTAGCTCCTAAAAGTTTCGATAAATCAACAAGTCTAGCTGTTTCTCCTATCAAGCCATTTTTCAGTGGAAGTTTGAGAAGTTAATGTCTAGCATCCTGGTTTGATTGTGTAGTTGTCAAACTGTCAATTGTCAAGAACATTCACCTATGTTGTTTCTCTCTTATTCCTCTTTGTCAAGTTGATTAATTCGCTTTTCACAGCTTATAAACGTGCATTTGGATGTCCTGACATATTGAATTGTGCAGATACTGTCCGCAGCTTGGCAGTCATGCATGGACTGGGCTTTCTGTCTGCATCCCATGACGGGTTAGTTATTTATTTACATTTTTTCACGCTTCTTTTATTGAGTTGTGTTCAATGCTCTGGTTATGGCATCTCTGGTTAAAATAAGAGGACGGTTTACCCCCACTCCCCCCACATCATCTTTGGTTTACTTCATTATTGGTCTTTCTATTAATGCTGATATTCTGTTGCAACAGGTCCATTAGATTGTGGGAATTGACTGGCGAAGTACTGATGGAGATGGTTGGCCACACTTCTATAGTCTATTCAGTTGATTCTCATTCTTCTGGACTTATCATCAGCGGCAGTGAGGATCGCTCAGCAAAGATATGGAAAGGTGATTATCTCATTTATTTCTTCTTCTGTATGTATGCGTTTTGACTTTCAATTCTGAAGGCTCCCATAAGTCATTGAGATATCACAATGTTTTTACTGATTCACTACAATGTTTCAGATGGAATCTGTGTTCAGAGCATAGAACATCCAGGTTGTGTCTGGGATGCCAAGTTTTTGGAGAACGGGGACATTGTAACTGCATGTTCAGATGGAGTAGTACGTCTTTGGACATCAAATCAGGATAGAGTTGCTGACAAGACTGAGTTAGAATCCTACATGTCTCAGCTTTCCCAATACAAGATAAGCAGGTTTGTGCATGCGTACTTGCTTGTCTCTGAACCATTGCATGTGCTCTTTCTTTGATATAATGAAATCAGCTTGGCATTCCCTCTCATTGTATTTCGTTTATTTTTATTCTTTTTATAGTGTTTGACAAATCTTTTATAACCAAAATGGTCTCAATCGTTGCTTGTATGAATGTTTGCGTGTTATAACCAAAATGGTCTCAGTCGTTGCTTGTATGAATGTTTGCGTGATTTGTATACGGATTAATAGAATTCCTGTTGTCTTGGTTTAGAAGTCACATCTTATAACGCTATATCTTTGTTGAGGAATGCATAATGTACCTGACACTTAGGAATTCATATAGTGCTTCACACGTACTTGGATTATCTTATCAGGAAGAGGGTTGGAGGTCTGAAACTGGAAGAATTACCTGGCCTGGATGCTTTACAAACTCCAGGTGAGATTCAAAACCCCTCGAATAACACTCGCTATGATGTTTCCTATGACTAGTTACCATGAGTCCATTTTTGCTTGTGAGGAAATGAGTGCCAAAGATGATGAACACTAATAACAACAGTTGTTTGGCATTGCAAATGCCAATCCATGGCATTTTAATACTCCTTTGATTTAGTATTGTGCTTTACCTGCTTTGATTTAGTGGTGCAAAGTTTGCTGTTGGTAACTTTCGCAACCAAGAATTTCTGTACTCAATTACTAGTAATTATGTGGGTTTCATATATGCTTCAGGAACCACTGATGGACAAACAAAAGTGGTCAGAGAAGGTGACAGTGGAGTTGCGTATTCATGGAATTTGAGAGAACACACGTGGGACAAAGTAATCTCCAGTTTATTCTGAAGACTTGTCTTTATTTCATTTAAGCTATGTAGTCAAAATGTCTGGTGAAAACGATTTGATTAAGAGACTTTAATCAATCGAGTTTCGTTTATGTATTAGAGGATTTGAACTGGTTTGCTTCCAATTGCTGTTCTGATTCTGCAGTCAGTAATAGTGGTAGAAGTTTTGTAATCGAACTTGAATCTTGTTGAATTTTCAGGAATTGTGCATTAGCTTCAATTCTTGTACATTGGTAATGTTTGTATGGTGGAAGGGAAAAAACTTGTTTGCAGGTTGAAATTCCAAGTTTTCATGTTTTTTTTTTTTATGAATTCCAGATTGGTGAAGTTGTTGATGGACCAGATGATGCCGTGAAAAGCCCTATCCTTGATGGCGTTCAGTATGACTTTGGTAATCATTTTAGCTGTGTCTAATTTTTAGTCTCATTCACTTTTATGTATTCATGTTGCGGTGTCGCTGCAATTGCTGTTCATTGATATTCTTTCATATCTTAATCAGTATTCGATGTTGATATTGGAGATGGTGAGCCTATTCGTAAACTGCCGTACAATCGATCAGGTATCAGTGTTTCCCTTTCTTCTCTGTTAGGCTTCGGAGATGGTATTTAATCTTGAATTTTTAATTCGTTCTGCTTTTTGTCCTGCGTTGAGAATGAAAAAAATTACCATTTCCTAAAAACTGGCAGGCTCCCAGCTTCTTGTAACATATATTAGTTTTAACTGCAATTCCAAACATCAACTTCAAATGTTATACTTCATAATCCCGCACGGTCTAGATGACATCATTTTGCTGATCGAGTTTGATGCTTGATCCTGTCTGTCATCCGCGCTTAATCCATCATGGCAGTCCAATTAAACTGACTGTGGGACGATTAACAACTGGCAGGATAAATATGAATTCTTTGAAAGTCTTGATTGGCTTTGCATTCTTGTGTTTTCATCTGTAACGATTCAGCTTATTGGTTGTTTGATATATGACGCATATGTTTATGCAATATGCTTTTACAAGGGTGCTCCTTCCATGTACTAAGCTTTCAACTACCTTCAACGCTGTTGAGTCGGCTAATTTGATGTATTGATAACACTGGCTAAGATGTTTACAGATAACCCGTATGATACTGCTGATAAGTGGCTTCTAAAGGAGAATCTTCCTCTCTCTTATCGTCAACAAATTGTGGAGTTCATACTTCAGAATGCTGGACAAAAGAGCAATCCTTTTGATCCATCATTCCGTGACCCTTATACTGGCGGTATGTGCAATTTCATATGGTTGTTAATTGTTGCTTGTTGTAGTTTATGTTAAGTATTTGGCAGCATCCCCTTCATCTCGTGACGAATATTCCTCATGCTTTTCCAGCAAGTTCGTATGTACCTGGAGGAACTTCCAATATCTCTGGTATGATTGTTCTAGCGATTCTTCAAAGAATTCAAAACTTCTTGACTCTATGTTGCTGTGCTGCACCTGGTTACTGGAGCGGTTAATTAGTTTATGATTTTTCTTAATTGTATATATGAATCAGGTGGTCCAGCAAAACCTAATTTCAAGCATATCCCCAAGGTATGCTGGAGTAACCAGATTTTAGATGGATAGCGAGAATTACTTTCAAGAAGAATATGCCTACTTTACTGTTTTATGCTTGAAATATCACTATATGATTCTTATGAACCATTGTTGGATTCATAATGAGACTCATTGTTTGAGAACTTTATGGATTATCTTGTTCATATTGTTATATTTCATTTCCAGAAAGGGATGCTTGCTTTTGACGGGGCTCAGTTTGATGGGATTGTGAAAAAGATTACAGAGTTCAACAGTGCTCTACTTTCTGACGAGGTACACATTTTTGTGGGTCTCTGTTGCATCATTATGGTAGACTTTCTTCTAATATCTTTTCCATACCATTTATTTTCTTGAAGGATAAAAAGCACATTTGTCTCTCAGAACTGGAGGTATTGAGACTGGGTGCCATTATCAAAGTCTTGAAAGACACATCTCATTATCATACCAGTAAATTCGCTGATGTTGACATTGCTTTACTGCTGAAATTACTACACTCATGGCCTCCTACGATGATATTCCCAGGTGAGTGCCAAGGCTCTGGCTACTTGACCAAATTTCTTGTAAATTCTGATTCTTGTTACATGTAGTTTTTGGAGTTCTATTCCTAATAGACCCTGTTATCTTCATGTTATATGTTGAAAGAATATTGTATTTCTGCAGAAACTGCTCTTGCAGGTCTCATAGGGATCATCGGATTGTTTGATGTCTGTTACTTCTACCCTTCTATTGTTGTTTGAAAAACAGAAGTCAGTTGTTCTCATCCAATATGGAACTTTCATATCCACAAACTATTTCTCTGATAAACCTTGAGGCATGGTTGAGTTCTTTTTCTAAACAGCCACATATTGTTCAACCTACTTTCATAATCTCACTGTTTAGCACTTGTTGAGAAGGCTACTTGTAAAAGAATTAATGACTTTCTTCGTTTCCTGTAGAATTGGGAGTTAGATTAGACCATGCTGTTGGTTTATTCATTCCTACTGTTTATGTGTGCACACACACACACTCGTGTCTTATATGTTATATTTATTACTGCGACGACAAGTGATGAGTAGTGTTTTCTTATCTATGGTTCTGTATAGACATTTGTGTTCCATGCGAATTAACTTGTTAACCTGGATGCGTGTATTAATTTCTGGCCAAGTGTTTATGTTGACCCTTGTTCTTTTTGGTTCAGTGATTGATATTCTTAGGATGACTGTCCTACATCCTGATGGTGCTAAGGTTCTTCAGAAGCATTTCAAAGATGACAATGGTACAGTGATATGTCCCTGATGTTCATTTCTTTTATTTGCAATATTGAGCTCTTCACTTATTTCCATATTGTTTGCATGATTCTCTTTCCCTCGGTTTGAATAGCCTGTAAAATTAGCTATGGAAACAGCAAAACTCCATCCAAAAGCAACCAATAACTCCAAAATGCTCAAGTGTATGATTGGGATGCTAGAAAACTAGGATATAGTTAGTCGCCTTGCTGTAAATAGCCCTATGAACGACTCTGTTCTTGCAGGAGATCTTTCTTTCATGGTTACAGTTTATTTCATGCGCAGAAAGAGTAATAATGTTCATAATTGTGCTGTATTGCCAGATATGCTGATGGAAACGTTCAGGAGAGTTACAGGAGATAATCCTCTTGCCCCAAACCTTTTGACCAGTATCCGTCTTGTAACTAATCTCTTCAAAAATTCATTGTACCACAGCTGGCTGCTAAAGCATCGCAACGAGGCAAGTCTAGTTCTATTTTTCTGCTGCTTAAATACAACATTTAGGAAATACCTGTGAAAGGAAATTGTTATTTCTTGTAGGGTTCTTCACCTTGCGTTGCTTTTGGCACTAACCACTAGGCAATACTGAATGTTCTGAGTGTGGATTTTCCCGTTGCGTATTTTGTGATGTTCGAGTAAACGCAGATATAGAAGCCAATTGGTTTCGGATATTTGCTTTTATGGAGCAGATCTGAACTTTATCTTACCCTTGCAGATTCTTGATGCATTCTCGAATGTTAATACATCCCCAAACAAGAACTTGCAGTTGGCTTATTCAACCATGATACTTAAGTAAGCATTTTCCCTGTATTAACTCTAATAATGATAAGAAATGGATTGTAAATGAGTTGTAAAAATGAAAGAACCAGCAGTTAAAGTAATCAATAATCATTGCTTCTCTTGTTGGCAAATGTTCACCAATATAAATCTTTGAATTATGTAGCTATGCAGTTCTACTAATAGAGAAGAAAGATGAAGAGGGTCAATCACATGTTCTTTCTGCCGCTCTTGAGGTATAGTCCATCCATTATTTTGCTTAATACCCAAATTAACTCTAGTGGTAAAATAAAAGAACTAAGGGAGAAAAGAAGAATAGGTTGTACGGAAGCAGCTACTGTGATCTTGATACTGATCTTTTCATTCATTTTTATTTATCAAGATTTGGCCTTAAACAATATCTTCTACTGTTTTTACAGATAGCAGAACAGGAAAGTCTGGATGTTGATTCGAAGTTCCGGGCTCTTGTCGCCATTGGATCCCTCGTATGTAGTTAATTTTATTTATTTATGTGTTAAATGTTCTTACTTAGGTGTTCAATTTTACATTGCAGCTTAACTGCAAGTAATGTTTATCAACCATCTTTGTTTCAATAAGTGATGGTCTACTTCTGTGAAACAGATGCTTGATGGTCTGGTGAAAAGAATAGCTTTGGACTTTGAAGTCGATAAGATTGCAAAAGAAGCCAAGACGTCCAAGGATGCTAAGATCTCTGAAGTAGGAGCTGATATCGAAATGCTAGTGAAGCAGCCATGAAACCCGTGTTTCCCTAGGTAAAATGTTGCTTTGAATGTGAGAACAGTAAATGCAGCATTTCCCTCAATTGTTCTTGATCCTGTTCTTTCTATGTGATAGGTTATGCAGATGGAAAGGGACCTCAGTTAATCGATAGCAAGACCCTTTAGAAGCCCAGTTCTTGGCTTGCTTGTACGAGTTAACTTCCGCCTATGCACTAAACATTAGAGAAACATAGTTTCTTCCAACGGCTAGAAACATTTATCACAAGCGGATTCTCGAAGTTGTTGGTTCATATCGCCTTTTTAGCGGTTACATGTACCATTCCGTGCAAACTAGTGCCTGACAATGTGAACCAAGAACCTGCTTTCTTGTTTGAGTACTTGCAGCGAGCAGTGAAATCAGAAGGCTCACAGATGACAGAACTAGTAGCTTAAGCAGCAACAATTGAGCCCCTGTTTCGCACTTTTCTCGTACTAACAATCAAAACACGGTTGCATCAGCTAGATAATGTCGTTTGAAGGATTCGAATCACGATTCAATAGTTTTTATTGCTAGACTCCTCCTCTCAAACTTACAACTGAAGTTGTAGCTACGACAGTCCGTCAGAAGAGCCCGAATTTCGCTTAGGCAGCCCTGTTGTCTTCTTCTTCTTCTTCCACCTAGCATAGAATCTCTGGTCGCTCCACATCAGCATCATATTCAGCTTCACCCTAACGTTCATGTCCTTCAAATGCAAATGCCTCGGCACAATCCTCTTCTCCAAGCTAAACCCGAAATACTGCGGAAACTCCTTCAACTCGTCCAACCCTCTCTCCATCTCCTTCACAAGGTAAACATACTTGCGCCTCAAGTTATTCTCCACACTGTACTTGAATATCGCAGGCATCCTCGCACAGCACCTCGCCGCCTCCTCTTCCGAGAACCCTATGCTCCTCAAGAACTCCACCTTGGACTGCAACTTCCCGACTCGAATGTTCAACAAATAGGCATTCAAGATGCTCGGCACGTGCAAATTCTCCACCCCGATTCGCCTGAGGTAGTCCAGCGTCGGCCGGAGACAGTGCTCCGCATCGGAGAAGAGAATGTCGGGGCATCGGGTGATCAGACCCCGAGACTGTTCAGGGGAAGCTCCAAGGTCGGAGGTGAGAAATTGGAAGACGGGCTCGATGTAGGAGACGTCGAATTTGGGGGAGAAGAGCTCGGGGCCGATGGAGGCGAGGCGGGGGAAGTCGGCGTTGGAGAAGCCCTTGGATTTGAAGAAGTCGACGATGGAGATGATTTTGGAGGTGGAATCGGGAGATGGGAGCTTGTGGAGTTGTGTGTTTGGGTGGACTACCCCTATGGATTTGAGGTACCGGAGATGCTCGCGGCGGGTTGTGTCGAACTTGATGTGGATCGGCGGTGGTCCTGGTGGCGGCGATGGGAGCCGCCGGCGGGAGGTGAAGGGTTTGGAGGAAGTGGAAGAAGAAGGCTGGAAGGATAGAGAGTGGAGCATTCTTGCGAGTTCAGTGCTCTGTTTTTTTGTGGGAGGGAAAGGACTGTGTGGCCGTGGCCGTGATTTTGGGAAGATAATTGAAAACTGGTTAAGTTTTTTTAAATTATAATATAGTTTGTATGATAAAATGTTATCAAATCGGGGATGTAGCTCATATGGTAGAGCGCTCGCTTCGCATGCGAGAGGCACGGGGTTCGATTCCCCGCATCTCCAATTTATTTATGTTTTTATCCACCATTTTAACACGTGGCAACTGCTAAATGGTCCACGTCACCTATTTTTTAAATGAAATATCCGCCATCTCTTTTCTACCTGGCATCTGCTAAATGGTCCACGTCACTACGTTCTACATTATAATTTCCGGATAAAAGGAATTTGAAAAATTGGTTGTTCCACCACCAAACTCTGATCTTTTGGACTCCAAGAAGAAAGCCTCAGAGCTCCATTAATGGAGGTTCTTATGACTCCGGCGGGAACGCTGCACCAATCTCCCTCCAGACTGCATTTCCTCAAGCCTTGTCACAATTTCGTCAACTCCACCTTCAAATTCAAGCCTCAACACCTCTACACATCCCGCAACCGCTCCAGAACCCAACTCCCTCCTCCGTTAACCTTAATAAACTGCAAGCTGAAATCCTCTGGAGAAGTCATGAAGCAGAACGCTTCTAAGAAGATTGAGCTGTGGAATTCCGCTCCGCCGCTGTCCGAGGAGGCGGAGAAGAACGGCGGCAGCGGGAAGGAGGAGGATCCCGTCAAGGCTGGGAGTGGAAGTAGTGCGGTGTCGCGGTCGGTGAAGAAGTTGTCGAGGAAGGTTTTGTCTCTGCTGTCTAATTTGCCTCTGGCCATCGGAGAAATGTTCGTGATTGCTGCGCTTATGGCTCTTGGTAATTGCCAGAAAATTTTGGAATCGCTCCTTTTGCCGCATTTTATACTACCTGAATTTCACTCTTTTTGCTGAATCATTATCGTCTTATCGTGATTTAACCCATTGTGTTTGGATCGTTGGTACGCCATTTTGACTTCCGATACGAGTTCACAAGCATTCTTCTGCAGGTACAGTGATTGATCAAGGTGAGACACCGGAGTACTATTTCCAGAACTACCCGGAAGAGAGTCCTTCATATGGGTTCATTACGTGGAGATGGGTTCTCGCCCTTGGTTTTGATCACATGTTCTCGTCTCCTGTTTTCCTGGCAACTTTGGCGCTTCTCGGGGCTTCTCTAATGGCTTGCACGTACACAACTCAGATTCCCCTCGTTAAGGTCGCAAGAAGGTTTGATTAGTTTGGTACTTGGTAGTAGTGAAATGACGACCACACGAAGCTGATAACAGATTGCAAATTGTTCACTGACTGGCACTACTACTTCAATTCATTGTGGTATGTGCAGATGGAAATTCATGGACTCACCTGAGGCTGTTCGTAAGCAGGACTTCTCCGAAACATTGCCCCAGGCGTCAGTTCAAGATTTGGGTGTGATCCTGATGGGATCTGGATATGAGGTAGATTACCCTTCTTCAAAATGTAAATGACTAATAGTGATTTTGTTGTGTATGGTGGTGCTTACTGAGCATGGATTTGATTTGATTTGATCATCAATGTAGGTTTTTCTTAAGGGGCCACGTCTATATGCATTTAAGGGTCTCGTGGGTCGGTACACCCCAATTGGAGTACACTTAGCCATGCTGCTGATAATGGTGGGTGCAACTCTTAGCGCCACAGGAAGCTTTAGGGGATCGGTTACAGTTCCACAAGGGTTGAATTTTGTTGTAGGAGATGTGCTGGGACCAAGTGGGTTTCTCTCCTTTCCCACTGAAGCTTTCAGCACTGAGGTTCACGTCAACAAGTTCTCCATGGACTACTATGAGAGTGGAGAGGTACATCCCATCTTTATCTGTTTTCAGATGATCAAGCTTTTCTTGACCGTTAATAGTAGCAACTCATCTCATCAAAATAACTTGTGTGCATCATTGTTTTCTATAGGTTTCGCAGTTTCATACGGACCTATCACTGTTAAATCTTGATGGGAAGGAAGTTATGAGGAAAACAATCAGTGTGAATGATCCTCTACGTTATGGCGGGTTTACAATTTATCAGACTGACTGGAGCATTTCAGCATTGCAAGTAGTCAAAGATGGGGAAGGACCTTTCAATCTGCCAATGGCGCCACTAAAAGTAAACGGGGATAAGAAACTCTACGGGACAATCTTACCAGTTGGGAGTATTGATGCTCCTAACGTCAAGGGAATGTACGCATGCCCTGTCAATCTATTAGTTTCTGTTTCTGTTCCTTTTTGTTTCCTTTTACAAATCTGGCTTTCTAACTTGATACTTACGTAAAAAGGTCTTCTGCTTGAACTACTTCCCCCCCCCCCCCCCCCCCCCCCTTTCAGATCAATGCTTGCTCGTGATCTACAGTCCATTGTGTTGTATGATCAAGAAGGGAAATTCGTTGGAGTTCGACGACCTAACTCCAAGCTTCCAATTGAGATTGATGGGATGAAAATTATTATTGAAGATGCAATTGGAAGCAGCGGTCTTGAGCTTAAGGTATGACTTTGCTTTGAGGTATTTGAACCATTATGAAATTAATATTCTTCGAACTAGTTCGAAAACCGAACTTTACCTACTTGCTACTTTGAATCAGACTGACCCTGGAGTTCCAGTAGTGTACAGCGGATTCGGTGCTCTAATGCTCACAACATGCATCAGCATCTTATCACATGCACAGGTTGGTATTCTGCTTTTGCGGACTATCTGCTTTTGCATCTTATCATCAGCATCTTATCTGATATTTTTTGCTTCACTATTTTGATCTGCTTTTGCAGATGGCTCTGTGAACATTAATGCTGTTCTTGATTTCTTTGTTGTATTTCTTGGTTTCAAATGCTAATTGGTTGTCTGTCTTCTTGTTCTTGTTTCTCTATTCAACAAGATATGGGCTTTACAAGATGGAACGTCATTGGTTATTGGAGGCAAAAGCAACAGGGCGAAGGGTGAGTTCGGAGGGCAGATTAACCGAATGCTTGATCAAGTACCAGAGCTGGTCGAGTCATCATCATCGTCGGTCACTAAGCAATCTAAAGACATGGTCGCTGCAGCCTCCTTCACTGATCCAAGTGCCAGACCCAGTTGATCGCATCCCGCTAGCTAGGGTCAGTGTCTAGTTCTTGGGGACCTTGAATCGCAAGGAAATGTGCATGCATGCAAGCATGGTTCATACTTCATAGGGAGAGCTGTTAGAGGTTTTGAAAAGTTGTGCAGAGAGAGCCATAAAGGGTCCTACAAAATACTGGTTATGGCATATACAAGCTTCCACCCGAGGATTGAAGACGGCCTAAGACGAGTATTTTTCTCTGTGTTTATATCAACTGTAAACCAAGAATGGAAGGAAATTGTTTGAATGTATAGTTAAAGAGGGCTAGATTTCACCCATTTTCCAGTACATCAAAGAAAAGAGAAAAACAAATGAACCCAGCTCCAACTGCCTTCCTTTCATTCTTATTATACAGAGTGATTACCCCCAAGCTCGTATCACTGAAGATATTCCCAGACTACTCCTAATCAATAACCCTTGCCGTCGGAATCTGATGATAATGAAATCATGGGAAAATCTTGCGCCTCCGTCGTGGAGTCTCTCGCTTCACATATACTTTCTCTGTCTCGTTTAGAGGTCGGCTGGAGCCATCTGGTAAACTTACAAACTTCCAGCCACCGCCACCTCCACGCTTTCCTTGAGGGCCCATTTTCTCCACCGTGAAGTTCCAGCCTTCAGATGGGCGCCGCCTACTATATTTGTGGCATTTAACCTTCCCAGCAATCTGTAACAAGGGACATCGTTATCATCATATGGAAAGCAGGCTTCTTCCACATACCACACACACTTGCCAAAAGATATATGGATCATATTGCCGAGGCCACAAACACAATAATTAAACCACAGAAGATCCATATTCCACTGGCGTGGAGTCACTATATTGTTAACAACCACCTTCACAAAGATTTTCAGACCCGACAACCCGCCAGAACTCACAAAACAAAGCAAGAACGAAAATTTCTCAACTTTCCCTCAATCGCTTCAGAAATACAAGTTGTGCTTCTTTTACACACAACATCGGAGGGGAATGACAAGTAGAGGAGATAAGTCCAAATGACCAAGAAGTTAAGGCACGAAATGGCTAAATAAGTCCAGATGGAAAGCAACTTTTCACCTTACAGTATAAAATGGTCGAAAGCATTACGAAACTTACTTTCATTTTGTTGAATTCCATCCTCTGGACAAACTCTTGGTACAGCATTTCATCTTCTTTCATGGATATCTCATAGTGGACTTCATCTGGATCCCGAGTTGTACCATCCCAACCCTCGGGCATCACCTTGAAATCAGGTTTGTAAGGAAGAGATGCTACATGAAACTCTCTGTCATGGGAATTGAAAAATCTGCCAGAGCAAGAAAAGAAAAGACCAGGTTAAAATAGTGTCTGAGGAAACTCAACTATATTGGTCATATAACTGATGAAATGTTCATGCTCGCCGTTGAAAACTAATGATAAATTCTTGGCATTCTATGAGTGCTCTTTGACCACACGAAACATCGGATATTGGTGACTTACTCTGGGCAGGTATCAAGCAAAAGTTCGACTGAGTCATCGTGGATACGACCACGCTTTCTCTCCTCTTCCTCCTCTTCCTTGAGCCAGAGAATGGCATGCACTCTCTGCCTCATGATTCTGTAGTCCTTGGCAAGCTTCTCAACAGTGTACACTTCAGGGTTCTCTTTGTGCAACCGATACATCTCTGCCTTCTCTGAATCCTTAAGATAAGATCCTCTAGCACCAGGCTCCTCTACTTGCTTCAACAACCCACTTATTTCGCGTAATCTCTCCCCCCATCCATTAACAAAAGCCCTCCCTTTCTTGTTCTCTGCATCCAGTTCGTTTAGCTTATCATCAAGATCCTGCAACTCAGATATCTTCAACGACTGAGAAGCTGTGTTTTCCTTGCCAGTTGAACTTGCCATCTTGCCAACCATCTCCCCATCAAAATGATCCTTGGTCAATCCAGTTGACCATGATGAAACAGAGTCCCATCCCAGATCATCAGACCCGGTCGAACCGAAGGACGATCCACCTGCAGCAGAATTTTCCCAATCGTTCGTTCCCTGATTTCCACCACCACCACCACCACTACCGCCCGACTGTAAAGAAAAGCCACGTGCCCTAATGAATTGACTTGCTTCAGCACCAAATGCAGATGTAGCACTTGTTTCCTTTAGAAATCTCGATGCAGGTGTACTACTGCACACCGTGGTTGAGGATAACCGAGATATTACGCGGTGAATAGTGTGCATATCTGCAGTAAACTACCCTGGATGGAGCAAATGAAAATCTCAGCACCACAACAGAAGCTCAGAAGTAACCCAAACGCAGGATGTACTCATCTAAGCAGAGTCATCAAAGGATCCAACAATCAACTACATTAGAAAGCTAACTAAAAACTCGAAAAAGACATCACATTTGTCTCACAAAGAATGATTCAGTCCCAAAAAATTAGCCTAGCCCATACTAACTAAATCACCGGATGTTAGCAATTTGCCAATTTCACTTAACTCAGCATTTGAACATTACGAAAGATTACCCTTCCAAATGCCATTACAATGAAATGACAAATTGATTGAAAGAAATGAGCCTTTTCACTACTGTAAATTCAACGAACATTGAACTCAACCAAACAATTACCAGAGCACCGCGGGGATCCACGAGAGCTTTTATCTGTGCTCCGCCGCGCAACCGAAGCTGCCACAACTGAGACGCAGTGAAGGAGGCAGTCACGAGAGGGGAGCCGAAGGCAAAGCAGCTGGGATCAATGTGGGGAGAAAATGGAGGAAAGAGCGGAAGGAACATATATCTTCTTGGGAGTTTAGGTTAGGGTTTCGATTTGGACGGTTAGTTAGTTAGTTGCCAAAATAGGGAAAGAGCGGTTCGACCTGTCAACCGGATGAACCGCTTGAAATAAATAACTAATTTTTATTATCACTGTGTTGCGTATGTCTCTTCAGTCTTTTCTCTCTGTTTTCCGGCGGGGAACGCTTTTCCCCTTCTCTCCGTCTTTCGTCGAACTCGAAAGAGGCGAATGGAGCTGGCTCTCCGCGGACCGTAATATATAGCCGCCGGCGAATCCAAACGCCAGCAACTCACAGACTATTAGCCAACTGGCGATCCCAAACGGATAAAGCTTCAGGTTACTTCCCGGAAACCCTCTGTTGCTTATATGGTTTTAGTTGTATTGGTTTCCGGTTGGATGGTTCTTGGACTTCGGATTGAGAAGGCTTCTTTTGATTGATTTCACTGTTCCTTGGAATGGGGATGTATTGAAGTGTTAACTCTGAATTGGTGCTCTTACTGAGAAACCTAATTCATTGAACTGGAAGCTAGCTTTGGCTTCTGGGCCTGGATGGACTTGCACGCAAACTGTTTGATGAATTGCATGTTTGAGTGTCAGGAACTCTTTCATCGTGGGCCTGAGTTGGTAATTTAAATAGTATGGACGCAGTTGATGCGAACTCTGGTTCCCTTGCTGCCCATTCTTTCGTTTAATCTCTTATTTCCTCCTACTCACATGGTATAATAGACGGAGAAGGGCCACTGAATTGAACTGGGTTGTCTAGTTCAAGTAACTGGAGTATCACATGTTGAAACAAGCGCTTGGCAAAGTCCTGGGCGGGGAAGTTCTGTCGACCTCAAGCAGAAAGCTTGGACCTTTCTCAAATGCAGCAATTGTGGGCTTCCATACTGGACAGGTACTTCCTTTTTCCTTCACCTCACCATCCCATGACTTGTGCCAATTGCCATAGAATTCTGAGACTTTGAGAAGTAGATGGATTTTAGGAACTAATAGATTGTTTGTTATATACTTTTGTGATAGATCGTTATATGTAGGTTCTGTATGGGTTGGGTTCATTATTAAGTGTGGAAGTAGCAACTGTTGATATCTTTCTTGTTAATATTGAGGAGAATCTGGTACTTGGATTGATGAATTTCTGATGGAGGGGTGAGCTATAATTTATTACAAGTCCATAAAGTTATTTTCCAAGTGCATCAAGCTCTCCTTCTGCTTGGTGAACCAAATAATGGAGTTAAACAAACATCAACACATGAATTCTGGCATGATCAATCACTGCAAAATCTGCAATACATCAGCCAAACACGGCCTCTGAGAAAATTTATTGTATCAGGATTGTACGCAAATGGACAACTTTCTGCCTTGACTTAACTTTGAAAATTTGTTTCATATCATACTGACAAGACACAGAATGCCCCAAGAAGCTTCTTTGGGGTAGAGGATTTTCTGGACGATGAAAACAGCAGGCCGTACACTTTCCAGAAGGGTAAAGTATCAAATAACCCGAACAAGAACATCTCTTTCAAGCAAAGGACACAAGCATTCCTGGAGCCGTTCACACTGGACGTGTTCATCTCGAAGCGGTTCGTGTCAGCATCGCTCACTCACAGGGTGACGAGCAAGCAAGTTGCAGTGGCTGGGACGAACTCCAAGGACATCAAGGCCGTGCTGAAGTCGAGGTCGGACGTTCCTGCCTGCCTGGCCATTGGCCGGATTCTGGGCGAGAGGGCAAGGGAAGCTGACGTTTACACTGCTGTCTACACTCCTAGGGAGAAGGACAGGTTTGAAGGGAAAATAAGAGCTGTGGTTCAGTCTCTCATTGATAATGGGATTGGTGTTAAAGTTTACCTTGACGGATCGAAGTAGCTTTGTTCTGATTAACTGTGTTCTTTTCTTCAGTGGTCGGGTTGTAACAACATTAATGCGGAATCATGAATGAGTCTTGAGATGCTGTTCTGTAACACGAGAAGATTTTTAAGGATATGCTGCTATTAGGGTAGCAATTTCATTTTGCTGACCATTTGAACATTAGGAACCATTACCCTTCCAAATACCATTGCAATGAAATGACGCAATCCGGTCGAAAGAAATGAGCTTTTCACTATTGTAAGCTCAGTGAACATTGAGCTGAATCAAACAATTACCAGCACGAGGAGAGTTGAGGCGGCGTTGGAGAAGCGGCTGCCGGAGAGAGGAGTCGCAGGCAAGGCAAGCAGCTGTGATCAATGGGGAAGATGGAGCAGAAAAGGAAGAGGTCTTGGGGTTTTAGGTTAAGGTTTTGATTTGAACGGGTTGTAGCTGGTTTAGGTGCCAAAAAAGGGAATGAACGGTTTGACCGATTAACCGGACGAACCACTTGTAAATTATTATTTATTCATTAAATTTATTATTATCCCAGAGTCGCGTTGGCTCTTCTCTCGTTCTTTCTCAGTGGCACGATTTTCTCCTCCTGTCTCTTGTCTTTCGTCGAGAACTCGAAAGGGCAAAATTCCAACACATACCACAGACCTCTCCGGCGATCATGGCGTTCAAGCAGATCCTGAGCCGCGCTCTAAGAAGCCGCCCTGACCAGATCCTCTCGTCCCCGTCCGCTTTCTCCGCCGCTAGGGCTTTCTCTTCGGCTCCAATCACGGCCACTCTCTTCCCCGGCGACGGTATCGGCCCCGAGATCGCGGAATCTGTGAAACAGGTTTCCTTCCTCGCTTGTCTCTCCTTTCCTTGTTTTCCCTCGCAAGTGGCGTCCTTCTTGCAGTTCTCGCCGTGGTTTTATGATATTTTGTATGGAATTTTAGCTTTGATTCGATTTGATTTTCCTTGAATGGCAAAGTGAGCGTGATTGGACTTTGTTTGGTGGTGTGCACTCGTCTTTCGTCGGCCTGAGATGGCAATTGCTTGTTTCGAGATTTCGCTGAGAAAGCATCATATGGTGAAAAGTCAGTTTTTTGTTTTCTTCCTTCTATTTGTTTGGTTGGTGATGAATGAAGATGACGTTCCATCCTTTGCGTGGTCAAGCTTGGAAATATCTGGTCTAGCAAGGTGCATGCAAGGGCCAAATCTAGGACCAGGAAACATCCACATGAATCGAAAGCCGTCTATGTAATTATATGAAGCCATTCTCAAGTAGCTGGAGTTTCCGTGAACTCTTGGACAGAAAAATAGACGTACCACCATGAAGAACTGTTTGGGGAAATAAAGCTCATAGCTTGCAATAAATAAATAGCTGTTTCCCTTTCATTGAATCACTAACTTGCTGAGAAAGGACTATTAAAGGACGATGTGTATCATGACACTTCAGTCTGAATGGTCAGTGGAGTTTTATAGGTACATGAAAAACGTGGAGTCACTTTCACCCTACTGGCTAGCCTGAACATGTTTTTGTAGGAATTCTTGAATTCTAGCAAATCAAACAGAGAATCGTTACTCCTATGGATAGAATGTCACCTGAGGAAATTCTCAATATGAGGTGGAAGATTGTGTTTGTTTGCCTCATTGTGGAATTCTTCTCTAATTTGCTTGTAGCAATTATGCTTATTGTTTGTCATATATCTATATGATTTGAGTGTGGGTACATACAGATTTTCAGGGAAGCCGAGGTACCAATTGAATGGGAAGAACATTATGTTGGGACCGAGATAGATCCTAGAACCCAGAGCTTTCTGACATGGGAAAGTTTAGAGTCGGTGAGAAGAAACCGAGTGGGTCTGAAAGGGCCAATGGCTACACCAATTGGAAAGGGCCATCGTTCTTTGAATCTCACTCTCAGGAAAGAACTTAACCTGTACGCCAATGTCAGGCCTTGCTACAGCCTTCCTGGTTACAAAACCCGGTATGATGACGTGAATCTCGTCACCATTCGTGAAAACACTGAAGGAGAGTACAGTGGACTTGAGCACCAAGTGAGCTTTCTTTCTGGTTTTGGCTAACTTGCACCTAGCCAACCTTGATAAACTTTGACATGATGGTGATTTTTGGTGAGTAGGTGGTGAGAGGTGTGGTTGAAAGTCTCAAGATCATTACTCGCCAGGCAAGTTTGAGGGTGGCTGAATATGCTTTCCACTATGCAAAGGCTCACGGAAGAGAGAGAGTTTCTGCGATTCATAAGGCTAACATCATGCAGAAAACTGATGGTCTTTTTCTTAAGGTAAAGATACTGTTGATCCTTCTTATACGAAGCACAGCTATTCTTTTTGTTGGTTTTTGTTTTTCTATTTTGTTCAACGCTGGTGTAATGGGCTTTGCAGTGCTGCCGTGAGGTTGCTGAGAAGTATCCTGAGATCACATACGAAGAGGTTGTCATTGACAACTGTTGCATGATGGTATGTGAAATTACAATAACTGCCGCACCCTCTCTTTCATGCTTTAGTTTAATTGAAGAACATTGAGACTGTCCAATGGCCGTTGAAGTTTGCATATTTAATATCACTAATAGTAATGTAACACTCTTGGATTAAAAAAGCCAAGCAACTCTGCTGATACTTGTTTCCGTGAATGCATAAACAGCTTGTGAAGAATCCAGCTCTTTTCGATGTGTTGGTTATGCCTAATCTCTATGGTGACATCATCAGCGATCTTTGTGCTGGTCTAATTGGTGGTCTGGGATTGACGCCAAGGTTGTACCCTTTAGAATAATCCTTTTTTCCCCCTCTTTTCCCCTTGTACTTTTTTCTGTTTATCATGTTAAGCATGTGATCTGACTGCAATTCTAACTTCCTTTTGTGACAGCTGCAATATTGGTGAGGGAGGAATAGCTCTTGCTGAGGCTGTCCATGGTTCTGCCCCTGACATTGCTGGGAAGGTTAGCTCCATTAGACCATTACTAATATTCTCGCATGTGTTTAGTAAATCTTAAAGATGAGTATCAGAACTTAACCAAAGTCCTCGGGGACAGAGCAACGTGAAAGATGTTTGAACCTCGTAGTATTTGGTTGTTATGGATGAACCACTGGTATTCATGCTAGTTTCTGTTGTGGTTAAATCTTAACTTTCCTATATGCTTGTTGTCGTAACACTTTCGGCGCTTGGAAATTTTTGCAGAACCTCGCAAATCCAACTGCTCTGCTCCTGAGTGGTGTCTCCATGTTGCGGCATCTGGAACTCCACGATAAGGCAGATAGGATTCAGAAGGCCGTTCTTGAAACCATCGCCGAAGGAAAGTACCGAACAGCAGATCTCGGCGGCAGCTCTACAACATCTGATTTCACAAGGGCCATTTGCGACCACCTTTGAAGACATGAGAAAAAGCAGTTCAATTTTTGCTTCAAGTTCAAACCCGAAGAAGAAACCTTTGCTTTACGTTGCTCTTCATTTTATGACGGGAATAAATTTCATGACCGTTGTGGCTATTTTTACTACACGCACTCGAGCTATTTTATTGTTTGCTTTTTCGTCGCTAAATTGTATAGAGCCTGGAGTTGCTTGCTCTTGTCTAATTCAATTCTTACAAATTGATACCAAGTATTGAGAAATTCAATTTTCTTATACTGTTTTCTTTGCTTGTTCGCTCTCTCGTCTTGAAAAAAACTGGAGATTTGAGCTCCAGATTCTATGTAATGAAAATGTTCTAGAGCAATTCGCTTCCAACGAGCTTCACTTCACAGAATTATGAGTGTTCAAGGGGGGATCATCCTCGGGATAGTCAGTTATTTCGAACAGTTGATACGTGATTACTTTCAGTAGTTAGTCTCGATGGTATTTAAATTCTGGTGTGACTTGCTGATCACAATGTTGTCTGGTGCAAGCGAGTTTATTTTATCAAGCAGTAGAATCAAAACACAGAAACAACGAACTCGGTGAAGAAGTTTACATGACTCAACCGCCGCGAGAGTTTCAGGAATGTCACTGAACCTCGATCATAACTCATAAATACCAAGTGAGGATAATCAGCTATGATATATACAGCTGTCTTTTCTAGATTGAGTTCAACGTAAACATAATACAGAAGCACTTGTACAAGTAGTCATGTCATGTCATGTAGCCTGCCCCGCAATCAACCAGGGTAAAAGTAAGCAAGTTAAAACTTGGTTCTTGTACCTGTCAAAGTCTGACTAGTGAGGGCAACTGATGTCCAGTAATAATTCTGATCTGTCTTCCTGTTCCCGATGATCTTGATTCCAGCTGCCTGACTGCGACTCCCCTCTCTGGCAGCCACCCATGTCTCGTCGCTGCGAGTCTCCTGCATTCTCAGTCGCTGATGCAAGTCTCCTGTATTCTCAGTCGCCGCTGCGAGTCTCATGTCTCAGCAACTTCCAGAGGTGTTTGAAATTTAACCGACTCCCACTGGTTTTGCATCCTCTTATTTATGAAGCTAGCTTCTTCTACTTGTCCCTTGGCACCTAAAGCAGCAGCTAATTCTTCTGCACAGATCAGCTCTCTATGTTTGTTTTTCTCCACCAAAGCTACAAACAACTGAAATGCCTCAGAAAGCCTCTTCTTCTTGCAGAGACCCTCAATGATGGCGTTGCAAGTGCTAACGTCAATCAAGTGATGCTTACCAGCCTTATCCAACCAAAATAGCATCATCTGTTGTGCCTCCAACAGCTTTGCACTTCTGCAAAGAAAACTTATCACTTTCTCCATGTCGATTATGTAACCGTTTTCATTGAGTAGATCAGTAATCTGATATGCATTATCTCTCTGTCCCCTGCTAAACAGTAACCTCACAGTTTCCGTAGAAAGTTGTATATTTTGCCTAATCTTCCTCGTCAGCATCAGTTTAATAAACCTAGCTGATTCATGAGTACACCCCTTTTCCAGTAGTAGTGCTAGTATAGAGTGACAAGTAGCTGCTGTAGGTAGGTAACTGCTCTTTAACATCATTTCTAGTGTCTGCTGAGCCAGAACGGGTTCCCCTTTCTGCAAGAAGCCATCAATTAATGACTGATAAGTTTCGAATTCAGGGAGGAAGCCTCTTCTTAGCATCAACACCAGAAGTTCATAACCAGCTTCAAATTCACCTTCCCTGCAGTGCCCCATGATCAAAGTCTTGTAACAAGAAGGATCTTGTGTTCCCCTCCTCATCAGCTGCCTGAACACTCTATCCGCCTTGTAAGTCTTGCCACTTTTACACAAGAACTCAAAAATTGGGCTATAAGCTGCAACAAGAGGAGTACAGCCATTGTCATTCACTAGAATCTTCTTTTCGAAAAGCTTATCAAAAAGTTTCTCTGCTCTCTCAAAATCCTTCTTCTTGCATAAGTTTCTGATCAGAACACTATACGTAGCAGAATCAGGTTGAGCTTTTAATTCCATCATCTTCTCAAACACATTCAATGCATCGTCAAGATTCCCCGCATTGCAATGTGTATACAATAGTGTATTATAAGTACAAGTATCAGGAGTAAAACCTCCACCACCTAAGGCACCCTCGAGAACCTCTTTGATCTTGTCAAACTTCTGCGCCTCACAGAGCCCCTTAATTAGTGTGTTAAAAGTAATATCATTTGGTTTCAACCCCCTCTCAACCATCTCCTCGAAAACCGCCATAGCCTCATCGATCTCCAGTTTCATGCAATAACCTCTTACCAAAGTTGTATAAGTAACAACATCAGGTTTCACATCCCTACCTTTCTTATTCATCCCCTTCATCACATTATGTGCGGTCTGTACCTTGCCTACTCTACACAACCCATCCATAAGCGTGTTATAGGTAACAACATCAGGATCACATTTTGATTCCACCATCTGATTGTAGAACCTAAATCCCTCATCAACCAAGGTATTCTTACAGAACCCTCTAATCAGAATGTTAAAAGTATACGTATCAGGAAAAACACCATAAGTGTGTAGCATATCATCAAACATGCTCTTGACCATATTGGTCTTTCCTCGTTTAAGCAAGACCAAGAAAAGACTATTGAAAGTTCTCACAGATGGAGACACGCCTAGCGATTTCATCAAAGCGAAAACCTTTAGAGACTCATTAAACAACCCTGCATCACCGTAGCTCCGAATCAAGCTATTGAAGAACCGGTCATGAAGCCTCACAGCGCCTTTAGACTTTTTCTCAATGGAGGAGAGGAAGTTACGAGCAGCATTGAGTTTTCCAGCGCGACCCAAGATTTCCAGCATCGAGAAGTAACAGTCTTGGTCGTGGGTGAACCCCATTTTGGGAACCCAGTTGAAGAATTCCAGGGCATTTGATGGGTTTTTCACGAGACGGAGAACTTCCATCACTGTGGTCTTGGAGATTGATGAAGATATGGTGGAGAGAGAGGTCTCGACCTCAGCTGACCAGGGTTTGGAACTAATAATCCGCGCCATGGATTTCGCCTTCTTTGTCTTGTTCGAGGTTCTGCGATTAACACCATGACCGGCCCCTCCTTCACCCTCGCCAACATTGTTATCCACCTGAGGAGGATCGCTACTGATGCACACAGTGGAGCAACGCCTAGACTTGGGCGGTAGCACATCAATCAGGACAACACGCAGGAAAAACAATGAGCTTAACCTTCGTGCTCGGCTGACGAGAAAACGTATGAAAAAAAATGGCGGAGGGGAAAACCCATTTCAGAAGAAGAGGGTTTACCTGCGAGTGAAAAGGACCAGAAGCGGTGGCTCTTGTGAGTCGAAGAAAGAGCGGAGTGGCATCGACAAACTCAGCGATAGCGCACTTCGGGGATTGCCAATGGTCCTCATATTGCCCTCCCCGTATGTTCTTTGCTCTTGTGCCGCTCTGCAATTCAGGCTTTCAGTACGGTTGGCCGGTACGTTTCTTCAACGGCGATGGTTGAAGACAACCGACCTAGAAAATACACATATTACATGAATTGAACCGATTTACGGCTGGACCAGTAGAACCACAAACCAATAATAATAGTGATCGGTCTATTTACTTGAACGACTAGATATAGACATAATGATTTTTAACCGTTGCATAAAAGATTTCACTTATATACTAGTCCACTACTTTTACCACAAAAAATCAAGAAAACAACTTTTAACACATAAACTCTGAAAAAATCCAAATAAAATGAACCATTCTGATTTGATAGCTTTGGTCCAATTGCTCGGACACCTAAGTATATAGTATAGACTAATGCTTCCTCGTCTCCTTTTCCCCCCGCCTTCTTGTCAGCTTAACAGCTTTAGAGAGCGGATATAACAACACCTTAAGTGTTGTTATAGTAATAACAGGGGTAAAACAGTAAAATCAACAAAATACAGTAAAAATAAATTGAAACCAAAAATCAATTTTCTCATCCCCTTATTCCGTCCATATCTAGATAATTGTAAAACTCCCCGACGACTTTTCTGAATCTGCCGCACGGTGGCTCTCCCGTCCTCCTCACCGTCCATAGTCTCGGATTCGAAGTGCCACTTCCCGGCAACCATCCATAGGACAACGTTGAGGCTCAAGTCGAGAATCACTTATTCAAATCCACCAACGACGACGTTGTTGTTCTCGCCGCCGCCGTGTCGTCCTGACCACCGCTCAGTAGCTCGAGGCGGCGGGCTTAGAGCAGCTCGACGACAACGCACCAGAGGCAGAGTAGCGGAGAGTCGCGTCTTGCTGTAGGGATGCCAAAGGATCCTGCTGCTGTTGGCGGAGGCTACGCGGAGAAAGTGGCGGTTCCGGCGGCGCACGTTTTCCCCATACCGGAGGGCATCTCTTTGACCGACGACGCCGCTTTACCTGAGGTCGCGTGTACTGTCTGGTCAACGATTTTCATGACCACCCGGCTCTCCCCTGGCGAATCATTTCTGGTAAATGTTCAATCCTTCGTTCCTACCTTTCGCCGGACGGGGAGGAGGAATTGGGGAAAAGTTCCGATGAATTGTTCGAATTATTTACAGGTTCATGGCGGCTCGAGCGGAGGCCGGGTTGATGTTGACCGAACTCTCAAGAGAGGCAGAGTCCGGAGACAAACGAGGGGTGAATCTGAGCTCGAAATTCAGAGGGTTCGCCTTCAACACCATGCTTCGGTTGGTCGCCGGGAAGCGGTACTTTGTGTACTGCGAATCGGATGTGGTGGATAAAGAGGCGGAGGAGTTTTGGGATCTGATCGGCGAATTCTCATCCATTCAGGGGACCACTACTCTGAACGATTTCTTTCCCCTGCTTCGATGGGTCGATTTCCAAGGTCTGGAGAAGAGGATGAATTCTCCCTCCACGCTGATGGATTCTCCAATGTTGTCATCGCCAAATTCTTTTCTTTTCTTTTTTTTCATTTTCCCACCTTGTTTATTGCATTAAAATTATAGAAGAGTAATAGTAATAACAAGTGAAGGATATATGGATAGCTTTTTGACAATATAATGGTTGATACCTGATCACTACGATCAACAAAGTTTATCATATTTTTTTTGTTTTATGATGTATCAGAAGCATCCTAATGTAGAACATAAGTCTTGTGAAGCAAAACAGAAACACTACAAAGTGAGCCATAAATATTTTTAAATCACACCAAAAACCTTATTATACAAACCATATCTCTTAAAACAAACCAAAAATACCACAAAGCACACCAGAAACTTCATAAAACAAACTACAAACACGGTAAAACAAACCATAAAAAAGCATACCAAAAACCTCCCAATGCATGCCACAAATTCCCTAAAACAAACCAGAAACACCACAAACCAAACCACAAATATTTTGAAAGCACACCAGAAAACTCATAACGCAAACCATAAACACCGTAAAGCAAACCACAAAAACAAACCCGAAACGTCCTAATGCAGACCAAAAATGTATTAAAACAAACCAGAAACCTCACAAAGCAAACCACAGAATTTTCAAAAACACACTAGAAACCTCATAATGCAAACCACAAACACGTTAAAGCAAACCACAAAAACAAACCAGAAACCTCCTAATGTATACCACAAATCTCCTAAAACACACCACAAACCTCTCAATGCAAAACACAAAATTTTTGAAAGCAAACCAAAAACTTCTCAATGCAAACCACAAACACGATAAAGCAAACTAGAAACTTCTTAATGCAACCCACAAACACAATAAAGCAAACCACAAAAGGCATACAAAAATATGAGAAACCAAACCATAAATCTCACAATGGAGAACTTAACATCCGGTGGTCGTTGGCTGTTGACCGGTCAACGAAGACCGTTGACCAAACTCCGATGACCGTCAGTGACCGGATTCCGGCGCCGATAGGCATATTCCAGTCCCGATGACTAGATTCCGACACTGGTAATCATATTCCGACCACGATGAGCATATTCCGGCGACTGTGAGCATATTCCGATGACAAAAAACATATTCCGGCGGCAAAAAAGCATATTCCGGTGACCGCAACCAGATTCCGGCGACCGGTGGCCGAATTCCGTCCACCAAAATTTTGGGCCGAAAATAAAAAAATATTTTTTGTTTTTTTATTTTTTATTATTATTTAAACATATTTTTCATAATGACAATTATACCCCTGTTTTGATTTTACACTAGGTCAACCCAACTAATAAAAAGTCATCACAACCCTAACTTCCTATTGGTTGGAGACTAGTGTTGTTATAATAACAACAAATATGGTGTTGTCACCATATCCGCTCCCACAGCTTTACATGATCTACTAAGTATTGACAGTCACTATCATTACTAATTTGAATTTAATAAAAGTATAAAACATTTTATGGTTAATGATAACTTCAATCCTAAATTAGTATATTTAGGTTATAATGAATTAATAATTCCATCAACAATTAACTAGCAGTTCTATAATAGTTATCTTTGAACCATAAACCCATAAACTTTTCCGATTGATCTGGAAGTAGAGGAAACTACACTAGCTGAAAGTTCTCGTCGATTTTATGTAAACAAAGTGCATGGTTCTGCTCTGCCGTAAACAGCTTAACGATTAACCAGAAACAGAGTCATCGACAGATACATGGAAGCGAAACATCAAACTATCTATAACACCTAAAACAACAACTAAAAAGTCAGGCAATATGCTCGGCAAGAGTGAGGATCTTGACGTGCTTCTTCCGCCTGAGCTCGTGGGGCACAGGACCAAAAACTCTGGTACCGATAGGCTGACCTTGCTTGTCGACCAAAACCACAGCATTGTCGTCGAACTTGACCTCGCTTCCATCACACCTCCCCTTCTGCATGGCAGCCCGCACAACAACTCCATACACAACCTTCCCTTTCTTCACCTTGCCATTCGGCATTGCTTCTTTCACCGAAGCCACGATTGTGTCCCCCAGCCTCGCACCTTTCCTCCCCTTCAGCGCTTGTATACACATCACCTTTTTGGCACCCGAGTTATCTGCAACTTTGAGAACCGTCCTCATTTGAATGAACGTCCTATGTTGCTGGTGCAGAATAGAAAGCCAAGAAGATGGTTCTTCCATCAGGAAGAGACAAGAGTCACAAGGAAGAACATAACCAAACAATCTATAAGAAAGATTTTCAAGCATCTAGTGAACCAGTATACACATCAAAAGGCTTGACATGTGACGAAAGGGAGAGAACTTTAACGAACCTGGTACAGGGCATTGCTGCTGGAAGTGAGTTCAGGTGATGTGCTGCTGGCTGCTACAGATGAAATGTTGTTGCTTAGTCCCCCCAACAGAGATCGCCCCACTGCAATTTTCATCAACTACATTAGCAAGGAATCATTTCACCATTTATCTAATAATCCAAGAAAATCATGATATCATTACAACTGTTCATCATTCTTTATCTAATTGATAGTTAAGCAAAAGAGCAAAGGGTTCCCTGCAAAATGAATCAGAGAGCACCATTTCGGTAAACAGAAGATCCCTTAGATCAAGTGGCGAATAGGTATCTTACCGCGAGAGAACTTGGAAACGAAACTTGCAGCCATCTCTGCGACCCACTGGTGGAACTGCAAGGTCTATTCCCCGGGCGACCTGAAACGTAAACCCAGCGAATGAGTGAGAGTGAGCTGGAGCAGCAGTGAAGCTAAAACCCTAGACGGGAGCGGCGGAATGAGGGAGGAGACGAATGAAACCAATCTGGATGCAGAAGAAGGACATATACATCGAGCTGCTCAACTACCAGAATAAAAACCCCATTTCATTCCGCCAAACAAAGCGCAAGCGACAATTAGGGAAAGAGAGGGCAGCCAATTACTCTTGAAAGAAGCAATGGAGGAGGCGAGCAAGGAGACGGCGGTGATAGGCGGAGGCCGGCACGACTGAGAGGAGAGCTGCGGCGGTCGCCGGAGAGGGGAATCGCAGGCAGGAAGACGGAATCAAGGATTGGAAGGCAGAGCAGGAAAGAAAGAGTCGAATGGACAAGACATCATCAGAAAAACAATTAGGGTTTTGATTCGAACGGGTTAGTTTAATTGGCCGATCAAAGCAAATAGGAAAATAACCGGTTTATACCGGTTAGTTCGAATAACCGGATGAAGTGCATGAACAAACCCCCCAATACCAGTATTGATTTTGTTGCATATTAACAAGGGCAAATACAATATAATATCCATAACTATTATGTATCGGGATTTATATCCGCAACTATCAATATACAAAGTGTTATCCAATCGTTAATTGTCCGTTAATACCCCGTTAGAATGTCTTTCTGCAATGCTGACCTGGCAAAAAAAGCTGAGGTGGAAGGGAGAACGTGGCATCCCAGGTGGAATTGATTAAATAATAATAATAAATAACATAAAACTTAAAAAATAAAGCAAATATCCTCCTCTCCTCTCACATCCACTCACCCGATTCTTATCCTAAACCCCTTCTTCTCTCATCTGTCCATCCCATCTCCCCCTTCGTCGGCGACGACCCGAAGTCGCCGACGAGCCACTCACCGTCTTGCAGGCGTGGCGGCGAGACTGCCACCGCC